GTGCAATTTTTTGGGTGATTGTCCCATTTCCTTCTGCTGTTGTGTACTAAGTGGCTAATTATTTGATTTCAAAACCAAACCTATCAACGGTTATATTGTTTGTTAACATCCCCTTTGCATAACCTGTGAATATTGCTGATTTAGGGTGCAAAGTTCTTCCTATTCAATTTGGACTGACCAGGATAACAGGCTAACCATTTCCTGAGCACAGTGAAGAGGTACGCTGTATTTTCACTTGGATTTGATCCCGGAGCTCAGGTCAAGGCACTGAGAAATGCCAGCTCAGACTGATCACTTTGGCTGGCTTGTTTTCCAACAGTAATCAAGAGGGCTAAATTGCATAAATTCTCTTGAGGCTTTTAAGTGTGCCAGAAATGTGTGTTCAAATATATATATACATATATATATACATACATATATATACATACACACACATATACATATATATCTATATAGATATATATATTTATCTATATAGATTTATATATTTATCTATTTATAATTTATTTATTATTTATTTATATATATAAATATCTATCTATCTATATATATCTATATAGATATATAGATATACACACACACATATAAAGATGCACACACACATATAGATACACACACATACACCCACACCTACATACACACACACACACACACATTATATATACACACATACACCCACACCCACATATACACACATACACACACACATTATATATATATATATATATATATACACACACACACACACACACACATAGATATATATAGATATAGATATAGATATATGCATACACACACACACTTTTTTTCCTGAGAGAACATATATTTCTCCCATATATTTTTGAGGGCAGATTTCTGGAAGAAGTGCATTTGGGTTTATCAGAAGTAAATATTCTTGCAGCAAAAACCATCCAGCTGCATTTGTCTTCTGAAGAATGAAGGTAAAATATTGTAAACATCTATTACTTGAGAAAATAGAAAAGACCCAGCCCAGATGCAGGAAGATGTCTTGTTCAGATGAAAAGCAAAGAGGTAAAGGGAGACTAACTTCTAGGAGCATACTGAAGCAGGCAATTCATTTCTAGTAGCATACTGAGGTCCAAATAAGGTGCTCTTCAAGGGGTCATGATGACTTGATAATCAGGATCTATTTCAGCTGAGGTACAAGGTCTAAGCAAGCAGTGCTACCAGGAAGATGGAGAGCAGTCAAGTTTCTATGTATGATGACCCAAGGAGAAGGAAATTAAGCCCTTATGGCTTGAAGCAGTGTTTATAGGAGAGGCCAGGTGAGAGCACGGTGCCAGGCATTTCATCTGAGGCAGACAGAACAATATTATCTTTCTGTTGTGATGAGGGCTGAGCCATTGCCCCAGACGTGTACCCCCTTGTACCTCTGCCTATGCTCTTAGACCAACACGGCTACAACCTATACTGGCATTTCTAAAAGAGCGTGTTCCCAAGTCAAACCAGAACTGTGTGTTACACCGGAAGATGAAAGGGGGGAGGGAGAAACCATTGGAGGTTTTTGTGGATGTTCTCTCAGAAAAATGTCCACAAAGGTGCATACACTTTGGCAAAAAAGAAATGCAAAACTCAAACTCTTGCTTCAGAGATGATACCTTTTATCAGACCAACTAAGAAATCGCACAAAAAAATCCTTTTTCTGCAAGCTTTCAGGCATACACGCCCTTCCTCAGGCTCAGGGAAAATTAAGGCTGGTAAAAAGTCCCTGTAGGTAGAAAATAAACTTCATTTTTGCACAGAGGGAGCTGAAGCTGGAAGTCTGTCCCTCTGGGTCCAAAGAATTTTTTGATCATGAGCTGGAAGGGAGCTTCAAAAGGAGACTGCTGCAAAACCTGCAGGTGGCAAGACTAGCCAGGAGCTTTGTAAAGGTTTCTTCTAGTGAAACCATCACCTCTCAACCACAGTCAATTATATGGTTATCTGCTCTCGAGGGAAAGTGGGATTATTGCTGAGCCCAGGCATGCATGTGCTTGCCTTTCAACTTTTACTTTTGATTTGTAAAATGTAAAACTGTGCGTGTGACATTTATTAACAGACTTTACAAGCTCTTTTTATTTCTGACCAGGAATTTCTTGGCAAATTATGCAGGGTGAAAACAGGCTGCCGTTGGCTATTTCATAGGCTGAGGGGATATAGGTATGAAGGGAGGCTGGGATGCTTTCACCTTACAAGAACTTTAGAAAGTCTTCTCTTCCCTCGGAATTGCGAGAGACCTTAGGAGAAATCTCCAACATTCAAAAACTTGTCTAACTTTACCCCAACTATATAGCTGGTCCAATAAAAGATAAAATAAAAGATAGCCTAAGAAATCCTTGCCTTTTGCATAATTTCTGGACCATCATGGCTACAACATCTCTTTTACACTACCTATCCGAAGTTAGCTTCTCTACTGGAAAAGTCATTGTGGAGCTGGCTGTAACTGGCTATTGTTTTATGTCAACATGCACCTACTAATGCCAAAGCATTTGTAATCATAACAGTATTTTAGAACGGTCTCGAAAGCATCCAAGCAGGTAGCTATCGCAGAGCTCTCAGGCTCATTCAAAGTCTCTGGACATTGATACATATAGCACATCCCTTGCCTTCCTATAACCTCCTTTAGAAGTGTGTCTGGAAGCTCCCAACAGCCTACTCCTTAGCTGGAGTAGCACTAGCCAGCCATGATCGCTTACTTCCATATGGCTTAACTTTTCTCCTCCACCCAAATGCTCCCTGGGGATTTCCATGCCATTGGTCCTCAACTGTGTCTTCTCATACACCTTCAGGATGTGCTCCTTTTCTCCCAGAAAAGATATTATTTCAGACCAAAATAAAAAAGTATGGCTTATTTTTTCAACTCAGATTTACTTTCCATACTCAAGGCCACTGGAACGTCCGCCCCAAGGCCCCCTGAACGGCCGCCTTTGAATTAGAATATTTTCCAAATGTCATCTTCATAAACATTTGTTCCCCTACCCTCCATCCCTCTACTTTAGCTTATATTGTGTATGAGTCCTAACAGGATCCTGTTTTGAGAGAACAAAAGATTTAGCAGACATCTATCCCAACCAAAGACAACCTGAGCAGGGTGCGGAGCCCTGGCCCTGGACACGAGGAAGCCGGTGGCGGGGAAGTGGTGGTGCCGAGCGGCCAGATGTGAAGCCAGTGGCAGTGCGGAGTCGCTGCAGCTGCTCTGCCCAGCTCTGTGGGGCCCCCCAAAATGCGGGGCCCGGGGTGGTCACCCTAATTCGTTCCCCTCTAGGGATGGCCCCGATCCCAACACTTGCTGTGCCTAGCTTCCTATAAATCAGAGACCTTAGGAGAAATCTCCAACATTCAAAAACTTGTCTAACTTTACCCCAACTATATAGCTGGTCCAATAAAAGATAAAATAAAAGATAGCCTAAGAAATCCTTGCCTTTTGCATAATTTCTGGACCATCATGGCTACAACATCTCTTTTACACTACCTATCCGAAGTTAGCTTCTCTACTGGAAAAGTCATTGTGGAGCTGGCTGTAACTGGCTATTGTTTTATGTCAAACATTTTACCCATGAATTTGTTGTCCACATCTCCATCTTATGGTAGAATATGAGCAAGACAGGCTGAACAACTGTGATACGGCAATATGTAGATGAACCAAGTATAGAGAAGGAATGAGCTACACAGCAACATTGTCTTGATAGCACAACGTGCTGATATAAGATGGAAATGGAGTAGAGTGCAATTTAATATTTTTTTCATAGTATAAGCCTCTAACTGGCCACACTACTCCACCCCACTTGTCCAAACACCTCAACATAGGGTCAAGAAGAACCCCTCTTCCAGCAGTCTGTTACTGGTGCCCAAGTCCATGCTTTTCATTAGCGTTCGTTAAAGATGCTGACAATGGGAATGAAATGTGTTATTAAAGGTAAAGATGCTTGTCCATCGTGTTGGCAAGGAAAATGGAAAACTTCACACTTTCATTTCAACTGGCCAAAGTCTGTCTTAGATTGTAAGTCTGGCTGCCAAATAGAAAAGATAATCATCTGAAAAAGCCACATTAAAAGGTTGTATAAAACCCCTCAAACTGTATGCCCTCTGAGAGGGAATACCCATTGACCTATACCCCAGGAGCAAAACAGCCGGTAATGTAACCCTGCCAGGACAGGACTCAGCACCTTTACTCTCCCATAGTGCTCATGACTTGTAGCCTATCCCTTCTTTGCACACACAGTGCACATCTGTGACGTGTTTAAATGTGAGCGTTGAGCAGATATACACCATCATCTGAGACGGAGAGGAAACAGGCAACAACCCAACAGCAGAATTCAGCCATCTATGAAGTGCTGCACGGAGGTTACACACTGGAGCTCCTGTAGCAGCTGGAGGCCTGGCATAACCACAAATGTCCTCCAGAAAGCACCAGAGCTCCTGAGCATATTTACAGTACCCCCAAGCAACACTAAATTTACCCACTAGATGTTCTGTGACTCCAGTGGAAGAGTGATAAGGAACACATCTCAAAGAAATGAGATGATAATGAACACATCTCAAAGGTCCCTTCCAGCCCTAATGTCTATGAAATCTTAGAGTAGGAACAAGAGGAACAGAGTCAGAGGCACAATCTGATTATCCATAAAAGACCCAAATGGACAGTTGGGTTGTCAGGGCTTGGACACTATGCTTTGGGCTCCCGTGCACCTTTTTACACCTCTCCCGGCCTGCTCAATGTCAGGGAAAGATATGGCGCAATTGCAACTCCTCGAGAGCTGTGCAATGTTTTGGGCGATTGTCCCATTTCCTTCTGTTACTGTGTGCTAAGTGGCTAATTATTTGGTGTCACAACCAAACTGATCAACGGTTATATTTTCTGTTAACGTCCCCCCTTACCTAATTTGGGAGCATTACAGGTGCAAATGCCTGCTCGAGTCTGATTGGCTAAAGAGACTGGCCTAGCCCCTGCTGGAATGTATAAATAATGAAGAGGTGCAGCACACTGTGTCTTTGACCTGGTCAAAGATCAGAGGTGAAACGGCTACAAAATGCCAACCCTCAAACTGATTGTGCTTGCTGGTCTGGTTTCCATTGGTAAGTCAAGATTTCTTTCTCATATTATCACTGCTTTAGTAGACACGCATTTGCTTTAAATGTTTTTGCAGCAATACTTAATGTGGCATATGCCTATGAAGGGTAAATGGAAAATATTTCTATCAGAGAAACTGTAACAACATATATGTGCATCAATTCTGCCAGAAATGTGGAGTCAGCACTTTATCACAATAAAAGGGTTTAATGTAATGGCATGATTACAGCCAAATTAAAGTACTTTGCTTAGTTTCTCAGACTAATGAAGAATGCAGCTGGATATGGTCAACCAAGTTGTTAGCTTTGCTTTGTTTCTACAGGAATGTGCCGTTAGTTTGTCTAGTCTTATCTCCGCTCTGCTCATGGAAACTGAGGCTGGGGGAACCAGAGGGATAAAACATTTGTGCAGTGGCAAGAGTATCTTTCTAAGGGTTGTTTCCAAATGATAAGAAGTTCTTAATCGAGCTAGATATAGGCATCTCTGACAAGTTTTACACCACTTTGGTTCTAAATCCTAGGAAAGTATCAAAAGACCACTCTTTCTGGGTAGGATTCAGGCATAAATGCTAATTTCAGATTGAAGCAAGCCTCCCCCGTAGTAACAAAATACACATTTTGGTAGCACGTCACTGGAGTTCAACATGAGGTTGCCATTGTCTTTCACAGCCAGGCTCCTTTCCTCTGAATGCTGAGGTTTGGAAATAGGGATGGCATAACCTAGCTCCAGACCACACACAGGAGCTCTGCCTTCCTTACAGCCTGGGGCGGGAGGGTGGCGTGTGTTCCCAAGGGTAGGGGCAGCACACGCTGCCCTGGGAACTGCTTCTGTCACTGCATTACAGCTGTTATTAAGATCCACTCCACTAGCTTTCACTCCAGGGCTTCTGGGATCTCCACCTGTGAAAAAGCAAGTGAATAGGGGCTGAGAAATGATAATAGAGATGGAACAATCATCTCTGCAAAGAAGATCTTTCCGTCTAGGAAAGAGTTGGGGATGTGACTTCTCTTCTTCCATGTCTCTCATACTCTTAAAAGCTTACCCTTCTCTGAACAACGTGGTCCCTAAGGTGCCACCCTGCCCTGTTTTCTGCCTAATGACTTTCTTGTGGCCACATTCATGCCAGCAAAAAATACAAATACCACTTTCAAGTTGCAAATTCACAGCTGAGTAAGTTAATAGTCCTGAGAATCAAGGATACTAGGAAACATGGAAAGGGGGAAAGCTGCCCTCAGACAGGGAGCACCTCAACGTACACCTCTGGTGGAGTATTATTTGGGTGAATTAAGCTTTCTTTTTATGAGGCCAACCTGATGGGGAACTATAGCCTTTTGAGATCACATACACATGTCTTTCAATTCTAGAGCCCACTGAATGCTGCAGGCAGCATAGATAGGCTTCTTTACAAATACTTAGCAGCACATAAGAGTTGAAATATGGAGCAGGGCCACATCCTACACAGCAGTGAAGAAACTACAAAATGATGGCCCCTTTCCCAAAGATGTTACAATCTAGGTAATGCATGGTGATCCCTTTAAAATTATACTGATTGCACAAGATACTCTGATATCGAGACCTGTTCAGGATTGATTTTTTTGAAATCCCTTTTCTACTTGTTTCCGTTGAATTAAGAAAGAAGAATAAATCTAGAATAAATCTTTTCCATACAGTCATTTAAAGTTTCTTTGTAGACAATTGTAGAAGGCAGTTGAATTTTCTTTGCTTGTTTCTTTAATAGTTGCTGCACAACAATGGGGACAAATTTGTCAGGGGAATCCCACAAATGAAATCAGAGGCTGTGATTCATATGGCTGTGGACACTACAATGCTGAAAGGTAATATACTGAGAAATCAGGGAGGGTTTGGCATTGGACTTTTATCATGTTCACTGTTGTCCCCTATATAACAAAATGTTTACATAGAGATGAAAGATCGCGAGGAGCTATTTCTAAGTAATATTTAAGGCTGCTGAAATTACAGCCCTGCAGACTCATTCAGAGCCTGAGCAGTGGCAATGTCCTCCCAACATAAATTCTCCCTCTTCTGTTCATTTTCATGAGACTGCTAGAAAGTATTCCTCTTTGTGTCCCATCCCTTCTGCCACACGGGGGTCTAGAAAGTCCTTCTGTGGTATTTCCAATGAAGTCTATTATGGGGCCAAATGCCCACCCCTGCAGAGCTGGACAGAGGCTAACAGGTGACTTCTTGTCAAAACCTCTGATGTCCCTGGCTGTTGGTGTAGCCCTAGGGCAAGACAGGACCAAGTGGGAAATAAATATGAGATGGTCTATGGATCCCCTTTCCTAGTGATTAACTCCCATCCAGGGACCAGCTCATGGACCAGATCTTCAGCTGGTAGAGATCCACGTAGTTCTGTAACAGATGGGGGAAAAAGTCTGTTGTTTGACACTGTCCCTCTCGGGTACAAGGGGACAGTCTGCTAGCATCTAAAATCTACTTGGAGACACTAACGGCAAGATTTTAAAAAATACAATTTTGGTAGGAAACAGAATCCAGTCTTTACCAGTTCAAATGAACAGATGGAGGTTAACAGTCATTAGAAGTGAATTTAAAATAGCAAGCTGTTCTATTTTGACTGCCTTACTAGACATTTCAGACTCTAACAAGCTAAAAACAGCAACTCTAGCTTTGCTTCATTACTTTCTTTTTTTCAGAAAGGGCAGTAAAGGAAAACATCTTGCTGTGGATGTGGTCTGCAGAGATGGATCGGAAGTTCGTGCTCCTTTCTCTGGTACTATTACCAAAGTCAGGGGAGACTTCCATACTGCTAGAAATGTTGAAGGAGTTGAAATTCAAGGGGAAGGTAAGCAACATTATCCAACCTTTCAAGCACTGGTCAAAAATGAATATCACCTATCATTCTAAACTGCTTAGAGGGCTATGCAAAAAGCAAATGGTTAAGAAAGCTGAAAGTCCAGCAGAAAGTGTATCAGTGTTTGGTTAACTAGGCCAAGGCTTATGTTGGACTTCGAACTGTTTCTGTATCTGAACAGAAGTACAACAGAACAGGGCAACACGCTCCAACACCAGGACCTGCAGTGCAGTCCTTTTCCTCTACAGCTCTCCACCCAGCTTGATAAAACAACAACTACGACTCAATTTGGAAAAAAATAATAATAGTCAAAATAAAGTGTCAGAAGAGGACACTTGCAATATGCTGCATTTAGTTTTGCTTTGAAAAGCATCTCTAGGCCCCTCGTATAGGTCCAATAACCTCAATGGCTTGTTTACTGCTGACTTGACTACGTGTTTATGTGCATGCACGCTTTTACAACTGCTAGCTCTAGCAGTCAGGATAGTATACTGAATAGATACTACCTGGATGGATTCAGATATTGAGACAACAGTTTCATATTGCTTTTTTCTTCCTAATCTCATTTCTATATAGGCTTCTGCGTGAAACTGATGTTTGTCCAGATTGCTTTCCAAATCAAAAACGGCAGGGTTAGGAGGGGAGAAGTTATTGGAACAATGCAGAACATGCAACAGATGTTTCCTGGTATCATCTCGCACATCCATGTTGAGAACTGTGACCACTCGGATCCTACTCCTAACCTTAGAAGAGGTCAAATAGGTATGGTAAATATGAACATACCCCCTTCTAAATGAAACCATCCCGCCCTCCACAGGCAAGCTGGGTTTTCCTCACAGAAACAGTCCAGGCAAATGTATCATTTGAGGGAAGGAAACCGAGCTTTTTCAGACACACCATAATACAATTTGATATATGAATGTGCATGGCAGGTGTGCATCACCATCAGCTTGTCATGTCAGTGCTCGCTTGCCTATAACCTCATAAGGCGTTCACAAAGGGCCGGTAATGAGCTTTGACGCCAGAACCAGCCTCTCCATCAGCAATCTTTTAAGGATCAGTAATTATCACTTATATTGTATCATAGGCTAACATGTAAGCTCCTCCCTGGTCTTTTCACTCCATGCATAGACTCTACGAGTGAGCTTTTAACAAGGAAGCATTTATCTCCCTTTCCCTGCCCATAGATGCTTCCAGCTACTAATAGAGGCAGGGGATCGTCTTCAGTTCAAAGGCATCAAGGGCAAAGAGAAGTTGCAGAGTGACTAATATGCTAAAACATAGCAAGGTCAAAACCAGAGGCGATTTGAACTGGCCACTTATTGATTGTTAGCATATACGTAGAGTGAGATAGGAGACCAAGGAGATAATGACTCTGGGGAAAAGGACTGATTATTGGTTTAATACTGGTCACTTCTAGCTAAGAAGTGAAATAATTTTTGCACTCTGCAAATCCCCAGCTATGCAGATCAACTCCTCTGAGATTCAGTTGTAACGAGTGGGGTAAGTTTTTGTACATGCGCTACCCAGGTACCCTCCAACAGCATCTCAGTTTATGGCTTACGGAGGAGTATTTGCTCTCCTTGGATGCTGTCTCTGCGTTTTCCTTACTGGAATATCCACTGCCTTTTGTCACCCCTTCAGTGCATATTCTTCAATGTCAGGACTAGATAGCGCCCTCAATTCCTCCATCAATTAGCTCTCACCGAAGGCTGAATAGTACTTACGACTACTTACAAACAGCTGAGGCTTTTGGGGAGCAAATGCAGGAGCCCCATTCAGGGGATAGGCTGCCATCGTGCTGGGCACTACACAGAGTCCTTCCCACAAACAGATTCAAGTGCAGGTCAAGGAAGGCTATCCTTGCAGATCCTGTGGTAAACCGTTTGCTTATAAAACCAACCAAGAATCTGTAAAATTGTGTCTTCTTAAGTGTGCATCCTCATGAAAAGAAATGCCTTCCCCCAGAAAGAATAAAATAGTGCTTCATTATATATGAAAATAAATATTCATTTATTTCTGCTCCAAATAAAGGAAGAAAACTAAAGAACTCTTCATTGTGTGGGACGCATGTTAGCCACGTACCCTGGAAGGTGACATGTAATACAGATCACTAAAGAATCCCAGTATTTTCCTCTCTCAACTCCAATATTTGCTGAGTAAAGATAAAACAACTGACATTCTCTCTTGAGACAGGATAGAAAATTAATTATTATTATTTTTTTAAACAGTTGGTCCACGACCTCCGATCCCTCGTCCAGTACCGCCGCAGCAGGTGGGATGGAATGCTGTGTGCGCGGGCAATCCTTTAAACAAAATAAGAGGCTGTGATAGATATGGCTGTGGATACTACAATGCTCCAAGGTAACGTACTCTGAAATCAGGGGTTCTGGCTATTCATTGGTGTCCCCCTAAGTACAGCAATATTTACATAGAAAGGAATTTGCAAGGTAAATGCTATCTAAAAAGGATTTAAGACTTGCAAATTGTGCCAGAATGGGCAGCACCACACAGGAAAGCAGGGCTGGAAGGGACCTTGGGAGGTCAACTAGTTCAAGCCCCTGTTCAAGGCAAAATCATCCCAAATTAAAACACCCTAGCAACGTGTTCATTTAACTGCAGAAGCATTCACAAAGCCTGAACAGTGGCAATGCCCTTCCAACTCCTGAGTCATCTTCCTCTGTTCATCATCATGAGAAATAGCATTGTCTTCAAGGCCCATCCCCTCCTTTGCTGTCTCTGTTAAACCAAGGTCTAAAAAGTGCCACCTCCAGTGAAGACGGTCATAGGGTTAGGATGCCCACCTGTGCCGAGACCAACTGAAGGATGTCAGTTCAGGATCTTTGATGCCAGTGGCCTTGCTATAGCCTCGGAGCAGGACAGGACCAGCTGGCAAATATACACGAGATGGTCTGTGCATCTCACTTCCCAGCGCTTGAGTCCTCTCTGTTGACCAAGCCATGGGCCAGATCCTCCTCTGGGGTAGATCAACATAGCTCTGTGGACTTTTGGGGGGCTGTGCTGACCAACAATGGATGAAAGCTCTGCATTCAATTGCTTTAAGTCTCAGATGTGAATGGACAATCTGATGTCACTAAGAAACTGCATGGAGGTGTTGACAGTAGAAGCAGTCCGGAATTTTCCATCCAAACGGCTTTTTCTTTTTGATGGAAAATGGCTTCTCCCCACTTTCTCCTCCTCCTCCCACTTTGAGAACATTTATTTTTCCCTCATGAACTGTGCTTTATTAAACCTAAAAAAGGCCACACCTGCACACCTTTCTCAGTCAAAATCCTTCCATTTGGGAGCGTATTGTGGGGGTTTGTTTGTTTGGGGTTTGTTTTTTTTTATTAATTCAACTTTAGGAAGTTTCATTAAAAGTTTTTGTTTTAAATTTCATAGAAAATGAAATCCATTGGCCAACTTATTATGAGGTGATGGAGTTTTACAATGTGTAAAACTGCAGAAACTACAAACACCATTGTACCCTTTGCTAATTTTGATAAACGGAGTCGTAGCCCCTCTACGCTCTTTTAGGTGACCCATACGTTCTATGGGAATAGTCTCATTTGCTGTGGAAAACCTTTCTCTGCACTGTCTCATTACTTTCACATGTATATATTTTCAGAAAACATGGTAAAGGAAAACATACGGGCGTGGATGTCGAATGCCGTGATGGAGCTACAGTCTTTGCTCCTTTTAGTGGCAGACTTTCTGGTCCAGTCAGACCATTCAACAATGGTAACGCCATTGACGATGGAGTCCAAATTAATGGAGGAGGTAAGCAACCTTATCCAACCTTTCAAGTGTTGGCTCATAAATAATTTTACCTATCATTCTTAACCGGTTGTGCAGCTACGGAAGCAGTAAATACTTAACAAAACTCAGGCAAGCAAAGCATAGCTACTCAGTTATGCTGTGGTTATGCTACCCCAAAGCATGTGTTGCACATGGAACGGTTTTTGTTCCTGTATTTGAACCCAAATACGACTACTCACTCCTAAGAAAAGAACAGGTTAGAAGGTCTCCAGCAGTAAGATTTGCAACACTGTCTTTTTCCTCTACAACTCTGCACCCAGCTTGATAAACAGAACAAAAATAGGGCCAATTTGAGAAAAGCCAAATCTCAAAATGTCAGAAGAGGACACTGCACTATGCAGAAATCAGGTTTTCTACAGAGAGTCTCTCTATTCATAGGAGCACAGGAAATGAGGGTGGGAGGGACCTCAGGAGGACATCTAGTCCAATACCCAGCCCAAAGCAGGGTCATCCCCAACTAGATCATTCCCCCTTCTGTAGGCCAAACCACCTCTAATTCCTGAAGCTACAGACTTGACTATGTTTACATTGCCACCACTAGCACGAGTGCTTAGGATAATTTATTGAATACTTCTGGGTAGACTCAGCCATGGAACTGAGAAGTCTGACATCCCTTTTTGGGGGGGGTCCGCTGTATTGCAGAATTCTGTGTGAAACTGCTGGCTATCAAGCCTTACACGTACAGTGGCTACGTCACGAGGGGGCAGCGTATTGGAACAATGCTGCCGATGCAGAAAGTATTCCCTGGTATCATCTCTCACATCCATGTTGAGAACTGTGACGGCTCGGATCCTACTTTTCAACTTACAAATGGACAACAAAACCAACAAGGACAGGGAACATAAATGGAAACACACAGTATCTGGAAATGACTAATTTCCAAATAAAATCATCTCAGCATCAAAAATGAGTTGCATTTCCTCATTGCTTATTTAAATGTTCATCAAGGAAAAGGACATTTCATACATGCAGAATAGCATTTAATATTAAAAAGTGGACAACACAAAGCTGTAAACATCACTAAGTGTAGAACACCAGTACCTATTTTCCTATGACATCATGATGTCAGGGTTTGAGAATGAGTGATCTCAAAAGTATCAACTCATCCCTTTGCAACATTTTTGCTGTCATAACTTGCCTTAAAAGTGCCTTTCAGTCTAACACATAGGTGGAAACTTCCCTTTGGGTGCATCTACATGTGTTATTAATGTGATTTAGGCTTCCTGTGCAGTAAGTTACTACACAGTAAGTGAGTCCTGGGAATGTGTTTACACGTGCACTCTGTAGGGAGCAGTTTTGCTCCTTACAGGAGTAAGCAGATCCAGGCCTGCTCCTGCCGTACTCTGCCCCCTTGCAGCAGCCAGGGAGAGCAGCAGCTGCAGCTCCCAGAGTGCTAGAGGACTCCCGGGCAGGAGAGGGGGCAGGCTCAGGCTGGCAAGGGTCTCCAAGCGGGGCAGGCTCAGGCTGGTATGGGTCAGGGAGGGAGAGGCTTCAGGTTGGAAGGGGTGTCCAAGGGAATGATTTCAGTCTTGCAGGGGTTTCTAGGGGTGCAGGCTCAGCATGGCATGGGGCTCGCAGGGGGACCAGCTCACTTTGTCCTGGGAGACTGAGACTAGTATGCCATGGTCACTCCCTGCCATCCACCCCAGTAGCAGCAGATATGGCAGTGTGTCCATGAGGCAATTGTGAACCACCTCCTCCCCACCCTCTGTAGTAGGGCACCTGGGCAGCTTCCCGCAGCCACCAGGCCCACTGCATACCCCAAGGCTATGTGCACTCCAGACAGTTTCCAATCAACTATCCAGTTATTTCCCTTGACCACAGCACACTGCCTCCCACCCTCCCTTCTAAACAGCAGCCCCTGCCAAATATCCATGCCCACCACCAATAAAATACCCTCTTCCCTATGCACCCATTAACAGAGTGTGGTTGATACAGTGTCAGAGGGGAACAGTGGGCTGAAGGCACCTCCAGCACAGAGCCTGGGCAGAGGCACCTGGCACCCTGTCCTCTGGTGGCACCACCATGGGTGTGGGCAATATGGTGAGGCCAGAGGATTGGGGGCTGGGCTAGGAACTCAGGCAGGCACCGTCTAGTAGGGCTGTGTGAAGCGTTGGTCCTTGATTCAATTTGGTGGAGATTCGGCTCGATTCGTTGGCCAAATCTCCAAACCCAAATAGAATCAGGAGACCCTTTAATCTCTCCAAATCGATTTGGAAAGATTCATCAATTCAGATATAGACACAGCTGTAAATGTTTTTTCTACATACCTCAAGGTACCAGGCGGCTCGTGAATGCCGCGGTGCTGGGGCGGATGAGCATCCCACAGGAGCACGGGGGGCTCCCCAGTGCGCTTGGCAGGAGACACAGAAGTGGACCAGAAGCACTTCCAGTCCACTTCCAGGTTTGCTGGGGAGCATGCTAGGCCCCCCGGCTCGACGACTGGTGCCAAAATTGACTCAGGGGAACCCGGGGTCCCCCCATAGCCAGTTGCTGAGCAGGTGCACTTGGCAGAGGCAGACCCAGAAGTGGACTGGAAATACTTCTGGTCCACTTCCGGGTTTGCTGCCGAGCACGTGGGGAGCCCCCCGCACTCCTGTGGGAAGATCCATCTGTCCCACCATCGCGGTGTTCACTAGCCATGCCTGGTACTTCGAGGTAGGTAGAAAAAACATTTAAAGCTGTGTCTATGGCGGAATCACTAATTATCCGAATAAGCATCGAATTATCAGATTCAGATTTCGCCGAATTGAAATGGGGACAGTGATCCGAAACAAAAAATTGAATCATTGCTCCTGACTTGGGCCAAATCTAAATCGAATACGGCTCGTTTCGCACATCCCTACTGTCCAGCCTGCTCTCTCTTCTCCCTCGTGTCGTGAATCAGAGCAGCCGCCGGCAGCTTGTCTGACTCACACACCGGAGTGTTTAGATTTAGAGCTCGGCAGGCGGGTAATTGATGGATGGAGTGGAATTAACCAGGCACAGACGCGTGTAGGTTACAGGAGTTTGTTTACTTACGTCGCCTAGATAGTGATGGACGACGCAGGCGGGCCTTTGTTCCGTTACAGCTTCGGTTATAGAGTTGAGTATACGCATATAACTTCGGTTACAGAGTCGAGTACACGCACGCAGTTAGGTTACAACGAGATAATGACGGACGTGGCGCCGGAACGAACAGTCGAGCTTGCAAGACTTTCTATGTCAATATTTTACGCTGACGGGGTGATAGATTGGGAATTGATCAATTTCCCAATTCTCTGGTGACAAGCACAGGTGTTTCCTGTGAGATCCCCAGAGCTCTCCGACTTGGGCGGAAACCGTTAAACTATTTATAGGCAGAGGTGTTTTACAGGGATACCCAATGGTGAACCGTTATATGGAATCTTTAATTTTTGGCAGGTGGCAGCTCTTTGTCTCCTCAAGTTACAAGGTAGTGGGTTAGGTTTCTCTACCTGTTACGTGTGTGCTACGTGTGAGGAGCTTACGCTTATTTTTGGACCAATTATATATAGTTTCCCCTAGCATTTTATTTCAGCTGACCAATTATCTACAGTACTCCGGCCGCGTTTTGTTTCAAGGAATTTTTGGCAGGGATGTCTTTTAACCCTTAATCGTCAAAATGAGGATGATTTGAATGGTATCTCTTGCTCAGTGGCATGGGCACAATTTAATTGGGTTGTGACACCTCGTAGGGCTGGGGTCAGCAGGGCCTGCAGCTGGAGATGGTCCAGCAGCGGCCAATTCCTACTCAGGGGCCACATGGCAGGTGGGTGAGTGATGCGCAGGCCAGGCGAGGGGCCTGGCTTCTGGGGTACTGGCCACTGCAGGAACCACGAGACCTTCTCCTCCAGGGCAGGAGCTGGGGCCAGGGCTAGGGGCAGATGGCATGGAAGTGAAAACCAGGTCCATGATGGTATCCAGCACCCAGCAGTCCTCCTCCAAGGCCTCCACTGCCTGGGCCACCATGGCGACCTGCCACTCCTGGGCCTCCACCACCCTCTTGAGGAGAGAAAAGTGCCTTTCCTCAGTGGCAAGGAGCTGCTCCCTGAAGGTGCAGCCCTTCCAGTTCCTCTCCCGCTCCTGCGGCACATCCTCAGTTCACCAGGCCCATGAACCTGACACACTGGCCTCTGCACGGGGACCAGCTGGTCCAGCAACAAGGTTGGTGCTGGTAGAAGTGGCTCCCCGGGGGGGGAC